AGGCTACAAGACATGCAAATATAAACAATAAAATCATTGATCCACACATTTTTACATTTGGTTTGGTGCAGGATGATCAACAGTCTCGGAATTCTGCTCATTCCAACAATTGAAGGAATAATGGAAGTTGGAAAAGACACCGATCATAAAGTTCTACGTCCGTTAGGTACAACAACCACCGATGTTAATTTATGTACGGTAGTGCGTCGTTAGAACAACTTTCATACATTTAGAGATTAGTTCTTTTCTAAGTGATTTTAATTGTTCACTTTAATATTAATTTGATGTATTTAATAAAATTAATTTTTTTAAGTGTTGATCTTAATACTTAAATCATATATATGATCTATAAAATTATATCTATTTATTAATAAATTTAACTTTTGAAGTTTGAGTTTAAACTTTTTAGTCATCACAAAAAGAGTAAGTTAAACTTTTGATCTTTTTCTCCCCTAAAATCGTATGTTTTTAACTCTAATTTTTTATTTTTTAGAACCCATGGTAGGGCCCATGCCCAACCATGGATGTTTGTGATTCTGCCACTGCCTGTAGATATCATGGCACCAGCTAATGTTTACCTATTTCTTCCTTCAAATGATAAGCTACTGTGTTCGGCTTGTAATTGTAATATGAAAAATGCTATGTTTACCTATTACAGCAAGGAAATTTTATTTTTTCTTTTGTGGTGCTTTGATGGTTGACAGTGAGCTAATTCTATGTTCTTCGGTTTATTGCTCAATTTAAGACTACAGAGATGGGACAGGAGAGGAGATCGATGCCATTTGGCAAAACCTCAAATTCTCCTCTCAAATAGGGTTAGGATAAATTTATCTTTTAAAAAAAATATAGAGATAAATTATTTTTTTTAATTATGAATTAAAATAAATTATTTATTTTTTAATGTACAATATTAAAATTTTATTTATCACATAAGTAATTTTTAATGAAAAATTGACATCATATATTAAAAAATAAGTAATTTATTTTAATTTATAATTTTAAAAAATAATTTATTTTTATATATTTTTAAGAGATAAATCTATTCTTATCTTTTCTATTTAAAGGGTGAAATTGAGGATTCTACCATGACATTTCAGTGTTTACCCACTTCAATTGATTCCTATCTTTCCGTAAAACCACATTGATTTTCTACTGTTTTTCTTCTATATTTTTTAAGAATTTGCGTTCCCACTCACATTTAAGATCCTTCTTATATTTAAAAGGGAAATGATATTTGTTCAATTTTTTTAACCTAATTTTTTAAAAAAATTGAAAAAACAATAAAAAAAATTAATTTTTTAATTCATGTGAAACTTATGATATTAAATACATCTACTCATTTAATGATATATAAAAATTATATAAAAAAATGAGATGAAAAAATTATCATAATAGCACCACCATACTTAAAAACCAATAATATTTCTTATATTAAATTGTAAAAAAGTAACTATTAATTAGGTAAGAATAGCTCTACATTTAGAGGGCTCCTCTCTTAATTACTCCTTTGCTTTTATTAAGTGATTAAGGAGAATTTTTTAGTTTTATTTTAATTGTCATTATCAATTTTTAATACAACATTAATTAGCTATCACTTTTAAGCAAATTTATTCTTAAAGTCAAGCGTAAATTATTATTTTTTTAATCCTAATACTTTTTCTTAAAACGCCAACAAAAGGAGAAATAGTTGATTTTTTATGGTTTGGATTACATAAATCTTTTATATATATATATATATATAAGTTTAGGATAATAAATGTGATAGTATCAACTACTTAAATAATTTAATAATAATTTTTTTCGTTAAAAATAAGATATTTTAAATTTAAATTACATAACATACAAATGAAATAAGATAAAGAATGAAAAGATCATCTTCTGCTACCAAGATAAATAATAATAATAATAATAATAATAATAATAAATGTGATAGTAATCAATGATGGCAGTTGGATGGGTTTAAATTCTGAACCGACCCTTAAAAAGTTGATGCCCCGTTTGTAGGGCAAGATGTCATTGCCTAACAGGTGTCATTCTAATAACTCATTAAAACCCCAGAAATAAGCTTCCAAAAGCAGTTGGCTTTATAATTAATCTCTGCAACTCCTTCCATTTAACATGTTTCCCTTCACAGAGGTTGCCTTGGCTTTTCAGCTTGGTGCTAGCTTGCTCGTACGGTAATAGTTAAGTGCTCGCTCGTACCATGGAAGTAGCGGCTCCACTCTGTTTTAACATGAAGAGGTACAAGAGGAGGAAGAAATACAAGAGACTGAGACGCATTGCTTCCGTTAAAGAAAATGAGAAGAAGGGCAGCTGGAAGGTAAAAATTCCGGAAGAGATCATTTTGGGAATGGAGCCTCTGAGAAAGTGCAGGGACGCATACATGAAGACGATGGTTTATCTTGCTGAACATGTTCAGCAGTTGAACAATGACGAAGTTTACTTGTTTAAGAAGGTTCCCAGGGCTCGCCATATCTGAGTTCTTAATTTTTAAGCTTATATGCAACTTACAGTGCTTAATTTTCTAGGTGATATTTGTAATAAGGTGACTTTTGCACCCACTTTTATACGATCTATTTGTGTTGTGATATCTGATAGTACTGTTCTATTGAGTATATTTTGTTTGTATTAATTGTATTAGCTACATTGTATGCAATAATTTGACCTTGATTTTGAATCAAGGTTTGCTAAGTGATGTTAATAAAATCTCGTATGTTTATTGTGTATATGTTCTTTTTGTAGATCAGGAGGTTATGCATGCATTTATTCTTCTAACCTTGTCAAAGAATGAAAATTATACATTTTCCATAAAAAAGTACATGAATTTCTGCCTTGCCATTGATTGTTTTGATGCATTTACAAAAGAAGTGAAGAAACAATTGTTCAAAACAATTTCAGGTATGATATGAAAATATCCCCACCCCTGTTTCTCCCAGTCGATCAGTCCGAATTGTAATGACAAAGGGAAAAATAAGACCTGCATAAAGTATATGCAGATACAATGCCGAGCCATAGTCCCTATTTTTGAACATCAATGTTCAAACAAATCCAGTGCTAATCCATCTCCTCGCAGACAAGTTCCACTCGTGGATCTGCACAGAGAAGGTTACTGGAGAAATCCTTTCTCACTTTGCGTAAAATGGGCATCACAACAAACATCTGCAAGGCATAATGAATTTTTGAGATAACATATTATACTTCTTATTGAATTGAATTTGTAAATTAGTATGCATTTAATTTTTAATATTTCATAATTATTATAATAAAATTGTGTTTATCACTATATTATATTTCCTAACAACGAAAGAGATGATAAAAGGTTACTTAATCGGTGTAATGATACCATTAAGCAGTCAGGATTCGGATTCAGAAGTCACTACATATAGAGCATAAAATTGATTCCAGCCCAAATGACAAAACCATATGAATAAAGAATGGTTGACAACTTCACATTTAGGCCGGTATTGACTTTTGGTGATGGCTTAAGGTGTGTGATTATTTCTTTTAACTTTTGAATGAAATTAACACCCCTCTTCCTACTTTTTTCCTCAACTTATTTTGATAGTAATTCCTTGATAAATCCTTGATAAAAGAACCCCAAGAGTTGAATCCATGATTAATAAGTATTGTTTTATAAACTAAATTCAAAATTCAAAATTTGGGTCAATATTTAAAAAATTAATTTTATTAAATACACTAAATCAATGTAGGAGATGTGCTCTTATAATTGTACGAGAAAAAATTAATTTTAAAAGTACATAAAAACCAGCTTAAGATCGTTTTGTTTGTAAATATAAAAAATAATAATTAAAAAAGATTTAATAAAAACATACCATGTTGTCAATTTCTTGTTTTTGTTTCAGTTTTGTTGTTGTTTAGGTTTTTTGTTTTGATTTTTTTATATTCGGTAACCAACACTACCTACTATTTTTATTATCATTATCAAAATTTTATTTTTCATACTTTGCAGTTTGCAGAATTAATTCTCCATTTTTTTGGTATTCACTTTTTGGTATTTGGTGACTACATTGGATTCTGATTAATCTGAAATCAAGCTGTGTTAGATCCCATTAGAGGAAAAATTCTTTTAACACTTCTTTTTTTATTCACAAGACTCGAACTTAATATTTTATTTAAAAAAAATCAAATTCTTTTTATTCAGACAAAAAAGTAGTTGGTAATTCCCCTTTTCTTCTTTTGCCTTCCGGTTGGCATGACTGACGTGAATTATGAATTTATGATGGGCTCTTGCAGATTTGAAGGTGAGAAAGCTGAGCTGTAAAACCGCACTGAGCCCACCAGCTCCGAACCCAAACAAGGCGCAGCATCATATCCCACCCATTGGACCCCCTCCCGTTGGTCTTAGATCTTAATAATGGGCTGGCCTGCCTCTATGCACCATACACTTACCATCTAATATCTACTTGTAAGTATGTAGTTGTTAACGATTTATATTTTATTTAAGAACACTTTTGGATAATTTAGTTTTTAATTTTTATATTTTTTTATTATTTTAAAAATATATAAATATTAATTAAAATATATTATATATTTAAGATGTTAAAAGACTAAAAAAATCTATAATTGTAGTTATACTCCAGCACTTCCCAACCAAGCCTTAATGTCTCAAAGTCAAGTCTTTCGAGATTTTTATTTTTATATTTGTAATAATTCAAGTCATTTTTTTGTTTGTTTATGAAGAGGAAAGGTCAAGGGGAAATTTTAACTTCAATTATTATTGGACTTATTTTAAGTTAATGGTCCCTCAAATTCTAGTGGATAAGGTCCTATTTAGCCACATCACATTTTTAATTTTTTGTTTAAAAAAGTCAAATTTATTTATTTTCACATAATATTTTCATTTTGAATTAAAAATGTTTAATTTTTGGATGAGTTAATGGTGACATAGTTGCAGTTAACGAAAGGAAAAAAAATGTGCTAAATTGAAAGTTTGATTACCATTTGAAGCTCAAATAAAGATAGGACCAAATAGGTGCAAAATTCAATTTTTGGGACCATTTTAAATCTTATTTGACCATGCTATATAGTAAAAGAGCAATGCTAGGGGCACTCTCCGGCCAACACTTTCTCTTTTATTGGGCCACGTTATTTTGGTTCCGAGAGGTTGCGCCTGAAAGCTTTAAAGAAGCTTACGTGGCCCAATGAAAGGGGAAGTGTTGGCCGGAGAGTGCAAAAAGCGAGTGCCCGTAGCACTGCTCATAGTAAAATAACTACATGAACATATGGAAGTGTGCCATCAAGGTTTTTATTATTTTTTAGTATATTAGATAATGTGTTATATAATAGAGAATAGTTTTCTTTCCAAATTTTTTTTCATTTATTTTAAGATTTAAATTTAAAATTTTTAATTTGAAAGTCTAAATTTTTAACTATTAAAATGTTCCTTAAAGGATGATTTTACGCCTTTATTTATTAATGTTTACTTTTCTCAATCTCATCTCATTTAATAAAAGTTGTGATTTTAGACCTAAATAAGGTGCACTTTATATATATATATATACATGAGTAATGATTATATATATATATATATATATGAGTAATGATAGGGATGATGAAAATTTAAAATTAATAATGTGATTTATACTATAATATTAAATTAATTGATGCACGTGATATTAAAAGTTTTAAAAAAATAAAAAAAATTATTAAATATTATAAATTTTATCTTTTAATATTTTAAATAACATACAGTAAGTCATCTCATTAATCTCATATTCTAATATTAAATTTTAATTTTATTTATTATTATTCCATATAGATATTTAGAAAGAGGGGACGGTCGAGTTCGAGTTTTATTAATGTAGAAACAGGTGTTGGGACTGGGAGAGCTTCCCTTCTAATGGAGTTCAATACGGTTTGATTTTAAATTAATTGAAATCTAATATGATTAAAGAATATCGGGAGGTTAATATAAAAAAACATGGCTCAAATATTTTTTTTTTATGGTAACATGCACAACCTTTAAAACATGTATTATTACTTTTTAAATTATGTTTGTACTGTTAATAATAAAATTATGTTTAAAAATTATTTTCCAAAAAAGGCCACAGCGCCTCGCTGTCATGCTTGGCAATTTTTTTCACCTTTAGGGGCGAAAAAAAAAAAAAAAAGAAAAAGAAAACCGTGTCGGGAAATAAATGGTCTTCACAAAGAATTTTGTCTTTTTTCTTTTTAAATAATACACAACTTTCATTATGCACGCTTTTAACATTTAGTTATCTGGGAAGGGTTATTATCACACAGGGTTTTTTTTTTTTTTTTTAAGTCACACAAAATATTATCTGAATGTTTAAAATAATTAATAGTTATAATTATTATGTAATTAATAGAATAATTAATTTTAATATTTAATAAATTAAAATCAATTTATAAACTAATATTTCTAAAAATGCTAATACAAACACTTTTTAATTTAACAAAAATTACAATATATTCATAAAAAAAAAATAATCGGCACACATTTGATTTAGCATATTGCCTAATACATTTATAAAAAAATCAATATTTCTTGATTTGAAATTAAAGAAAGACAAATTTAAATATACAATTATGCACATAAGATGTAGAAATCGATTAAATCGATTGTATTTATATTATATTTTTAATAATTAAATTAGAAGTGTGTTAGAAAATATGTTGAATCAAGTGTATACAAATTATTTTCCTAAAAAAAACATTATCTTTTAATCTAAAATTAAAGATTGAAATTTTAAAAATGCAATCATATAAATAGTATAGAAGAACTTATTGAATTGGTTTTTCTTTTAATATTATATTTTAATAATTAAATTGGTAAATATTGATATGTGTCAAACTAGGGAATCTCTAAATAATCTTCTTATTTCTAAACACTATTACGAAGGGCAAAACTAGGGAAAGGTGGAGTGTATGCTTTTCTTTTCTTTTTTTCTTTTTTTCTTTTTTTTTTACACTATAATTTTTTTTAATTTTTACAAAAGGATTTAGAGTAGGCCATTTTTTTTTCCTACAACTTTAGTCTTATGGTATTTATTTTTCAACTTTTTGAATCTTGGGGTAAAGCCCATATGCTCATCTCCTTGTGAATATAGTGTCGTCCCAAACCATATCTAATTAGGAAACTATTAACTTATAAAATAAATACAACTATTAACTATTTGTGTAGCCTTGACACAAAAAAAAAAAAAAAGCCATGTGCAAGTAAAATGCCCAGTTTATCCACCCACTTCTGTAGCAATATAGTATTTTTTGTCGGAAAATGATTGGTGTCGATGAAAATACTTGTTCATCTTGTGTGCTTCCCACATGATGAATGAATGGCTCAAAATTTCAGCCTCCATTACACGATTGGTTATTGCCACCTAAGAAAATGACATGTTCACTTATATATATATATATATATATATATATTTTTTTTTTTTTAAATAATTAGTCACGATTGTTAGATATTTTAGTTTATTTATTAATTTTAAAAGATAACAGAAAAAGTAAATAATCTTAGGAGTTTATTAAAAAAAAATACAGAATTCAATGATATTAGAGAAAATGAAATATATATTTGGTGTTGGAAAAAAATTGTTCAAAGTTTTTTTTTTTCTATTTAAAAGTTTTGGTGACTTTTTAAAATTTTAATTAGAATTTTTATTATGAATTTTTAATTGAAATGACCAACAATAATTTTGGTAATTTTGCAGAGGTTTGGGACTATTTTTGGTCAAAATGAAAGCTTAGGACAATGTCTAGTATTTATAATAAAGGTTGGGAATAAATCTAGTATTTATTTTAATATTTGAGTTTTTCTAACATATGTCTTTTAAAGATGTATTAATTACATTTTTTTATTAATTTATATAAAAATAAAAAAAATTAACTTTATTTTTAACTATAATATCATATGAATAATTTTAATTAAATGTTAACATAATTAAAATCAAAAATTATTTTTTTTAACAATTAATGAAAAAAATGAAATTAATTCACCTTTAATTTCATGGACCAAATTAAAAACCCTTAATATTTAATTACTCCATTGTAAAAAAAAAAAAAAAACACATCCCAGCTTCTCAACATATCTCCTGTTAATAAGGACAAACATAAAATTTTAATAGGTAATAGTTTTGTTTTTATAAAATTTGATAATCTTTTTCAGTAACTATGAATGTGAAGATGTTATCAACTAAAATGAATGGTGTAGCATGCACAACTCATTATCCAAAAAAGGAAGTTTACATATAATTTGTGCCGTGACTTTGACGCTATGCGATCTCGCGTGAAGAACCCTTGTTCTTCTTTACTATATACTGCCTTTTTATTTCTGTTTTTGCCAATCAATCAAATCTGCAGCCTCCATAAATTGGTTTATCATCGTGCACCCCAATCCAAAAGGGGAAAGCAGAAAGCTTCAAAACTTTCCATTCCCCCAAAAACGGTATGCCTCAACCTCAATGGTCCAGTTGCGGAGATATTTTCTCAAGGTTTCAGGGCAAAAGGTAATGGGGTCTTGACACATGTCTCATTTGTAGCAATCAAAATTGATGCACCCCACCGCCCCATTTTCTGTTGCACATAAGGACATCCGATTCAAAAATAAAGCGATAAGAAATGTGTGTTGAGGGATCGATGCCTTCGGATCTTTTCTTTCTTTTTTCATCTTCCATGCTTCTTGGCAAGTTGGGTTGCGGTGCTTATAAGTATAAGATGATCCCTCGAGTGAAGCCAAAATGCATCGAATTTCTTTAATAAATGGAGATTTCTAGACAAATACAGCAACATCTTTGTTTCTATATTAGCATATATATACATGGGATTGAAAATATCCCCTTTTCTGTTTGCCTTTTCAAAGCTAACTCTTCAAAAGCAGAAATTATATTAGGTGATGAAACTTTCTAGTGCATACTAGTAGTACTAGTCAAAAAAATGGACCACTTGTCCTGCAGGGTCTCCATGGTATTATTTTCGGTACCCACCAACTGGGAAGTTTATTCCCTTGGCTGATAAACACTGGAGGAGCCGCCAAGAAATTGTGCCTCAATGTTAACCAGTAAAAATTTAAAAATTCTAAATTCAAATCTTGAGATTGATATATATGTTCATAGTTAGACATACCATCAGCATCATAAAAAAAATTGACTGTTGAGGATTGGAGAGGTAAAGTTACTGGTCCGCGTTCTCCTACAGTCCTACTGATAAAGAGATGGGTTGAGTGACTGGATGAGATGCAGGTGCCTTTCAGCTCGACTGATTAATTTGTCTAGGTATGGTTTTTTCCTGGAGAGATGTCCAACATTATCTGAATTAATTGGGAATGCAAGTGTCAGGGTCAAAGCAGGTGGGTCTAGGAGATTGTTGAGAAGTCAAAACACATGGATATGATAAATATATATATATATATATATATTTTAAAAAAATTAAGATGACATGATATTTAAAATGTTATATTTTTTATAAAATTATTTTAATATTTTTAATAATTTTATTTATTTATTGATTTATTAGGGATATTAAAATAATTTTATATAAAATCTTGATATTTTAATTCTCAAAACATTTTAGTTTTTTGTAATCCCAATATATATACCAAGATCTTGAATGATGTAGATGATAATTTCACTGTTCCCATTGCATGATATTTTGATGTTTTTGACTTTGTAAATCAAAATGATCTCATAAGATTGCTGAAATCCCTATTGCACATGGTGTACCAAATATAAAGCTACCGTGAGATCATCCAAATTACCTTCAAAACCTCAGTACACCGATATGGTTGCTGAATAATTCTACCCTATCCTTTTTGGATATTTTGTGGTTGCCTCTTGGTGTCTAGAATACTCTTTATAAATACAAAAAAATTGGAAATAATTTTAGCCAATGAGACATAGGTTAATTGGTCAAAAAACCGTTGTACTCTCACAGATATTGAGTTTTCTCCTCCTTTTTCTTAGATTGTGTATTTATTGTACTTATAATTATTGTGATTAATTTATTAAAGTCTTTTATGTTCAGGATCACACAATAATTACATTATATTTTATTTGATTTAATTGTTGGGATGAATTGATAGTTGTTTTTTTTTTTTTATCATTTTTCTAATTAATCAAATGAATAAGTGTCTTTAAAGTATAGGTAACAACAAATTTATACATTTTATTAACGAGAACAATTATTTGCTAAATCAAACAATCTAAATTTGTATTATTTTCCCTTTATAATAACTTTTTATTTTTTTGAAAAAATAAATCCAAAAATGACATAAAAATGGATTAATTTTTTAATTTCATTTAAAAAACAAAAATACAAAGTACTGGTAATTTTATGGGCCAAATCTAATTGTTTGTACCGTTGAAAATTAAAGTAGAGGGAAGGGAGAGATTTTGTGATGCAAGTTGGGATTGTACGATTAGGGTTTGTTAGGAGGTTACATAAAGTGGCCAATAAGAAAATTTTTATCCCGTGAGGAACGGTTAGAAGCAGATTCAGGGTACATAAGAACTGGAAGTACTGCTACTACTATCTATTTAACTTACCTTTTCCCCTATAAATAGAGGTTATTAGAAGACTACTCCCACAGGTCATCCATCCCCCAAATTCCTCTCTAGCTACTTTCCATTTCCTCTCTCTGCCTTCAATTTCTAATGATAAAGATACTGCTATTTGGGCAGGGGATAGGTAGAGGAGGCACTGGTGATGTTGTTGACAGAAGATAGAGAGCACAGAGGATGTTATGCACCATTAATGGAGATCCGCTGCAGCACTGCATCTCAGTCCTTTGTGCTCTCTATGCTTCTGTCATCACCTTCAGCCCCTCATGCCTATGATCCCCTCCTTAATTCCTTTTAGCTTTGATTCGTTTTCTACTTGATATGATTTCTCTTACATCCATGCTTGCTATATTATGTTTATGCATATTCATCCTTTTAACTATGTACTCTAGTTAAATCTTATTTTGTTCATATGTATATGTTTTGCAGTTCAAATTTTGCAGGGGAGACTTCGGGGTTTTGGTTCCTAAATGATCAAATCAAGAATCACTTGGACAGGTTGTAGGTAAAAGTATGTTTAGTTTTCCCCTTGATTGTTTGGTGAGATGATCCCTTGAAGCGCATTTGTTGATTCCCTTTTGCTTAATAATAGACATGAACTCTTGCAATAGTTTTGTTCATTTCAGATAAATCTTGGAACATTACAAAATAACTGACATCAAATTCCTCTCTAATGCATTTGCAACATTTTCTGTTTTTATTTGGTCTGTTTTTAATAAGAAATTGGGAAGAACATAACCATTTTTTGTTCAATAATGTGTAAGTTTTGTTTCTTCTTCTTCTTCTTCTTCTTTTTTCAGTCTTGAATGGATAGAAAACATTCTGATGCTATGCTGACAAGATAGAGGAGTAAAAGTGATTCCTAAAAGAAGTAGGTACCACTTGCTTTGTGGGTGAAGGGTCCATATCTTGTTTCATCAATTTTTGTGACCATGTAAAAGGAAAACAAGCGTGGCGACTGTTGGCCATAAGTTATACCGGCTGATTTTTCTGTTGCAGTTCATCATCCTAGTACAAAATTTACTGTAAATTTCATAGGTGAGATGGGGGTGTTATATATTTCTATATTTTTATTTAAATTAATTTTATGAAAGTGCCCTCGCCCTTGTTTATGTCCATGAAGTTTCGCCTAATTAAGCTTTTGTCGGTAGATATACGATATTCCTAATTTAAATTACCTGCACATTGCAAAGGCATTGTAGAATGAGTTTCAATTAGTAAATTTTCTTTCAAGATATATATTTCACTCAATCCTAGGATAAACGAATGTTTTGAAAAGTGTCAATTTGTTCCTATTTGAATTGCAATATCAATCTTCCTGAGATAGAATCAATATGAGTTGATGAATGCCCATCTAGAGAAATCTAGAAGGGAACTTAAATTTGGGATTTCTAGTGGTTGTTACGAATGCCTTGTTTATGAGGAATGATGTCTCTATATTATTTCCATTCCCATATGCTAATACAATTAATACAGACGTGTGTATTCAGAACTTCTTTTCATTTGCTGACACTCAAAGATCTTTACTTTGTTTGATCTTCTTTAATTCAATTATTTAATAAAATTATATAGTCAGCACAGAATATTACCATGTATAAACAATGGCAAACATGTAGCTCCACTTGAGGATAGAAAAAGATTGTTGAATTCTATTTAGCCTCTATTTGGTTTGACTATTTGGCATATATAATTGACCGTAGCTGTCAGTGTATAAATAATATCTAATAACTGATACCTACTCTTTTTTTTCTTGAATAATTTTGAGAACGCACTCCAATATCAACATAACGCATTCAATGAAATTAAATTCTTTGGGTGCTAGTCTTAAGACTTGAATTCTAAACTTGACCTATAAAAAGATATTTATTTACTAGTAAATCTAATCTTAAGGTTAATAATTGATACTTTCTTAGTAGATTGAAATTAGCTTAAATATTAAGTTCCCTACTTTGCAATTTATTTTTTTAAATGGTGCAAGTTATGTTTCATATCATATCTAGTAAATGTAGACCCAGTGAGTTGAAACCATTATGATCTAGGGTATGAAACCATTATGATCTAGAGTATGAAACCAAACTCACAGCACAGACAAATTATTACCCCAAATTAAGAAACTAGCTGTTGGAATGGTGTCTTAATTTCTTGAAGTAAAAATGAAGTCAACATGAAAGGTACAGGTACCATGGTTAGAGGTGCCAGTACTCATGATGGAGTACTAGCACCCAAGTGTAGGACCATTTATTCGCAAAGCTTACTCACTCTATCTGTTCCACAATAATAGTTGTATATTAATTTTTTTAATTGATAACCAAAACTAAGGGGTGATAATAAAATTAAAAAAAAATAATATTTACCTTCTTTAAAATATGAAAAAATGACAATAAACTAAAACAAATTGTGAAATGAAGGGAGGAATTACATACTAGATTTTTCATGTAAAATGCTTTGTCATTTGCTTGCTTGCTTTATTTCACATGCGTTTCTCAATAGTACTCACCATTCAAACCAAATCATGAAACTAAGACTCATATCTAATATCTTGCATGTATATGTGAAACCACTAGAATTGGATTGATTAAATGTTCCTTAGAGGAGGGTCCAAGAGTATTGATTTTAATTCGTTCACTGACAAAGGAAGTTTATAATGGGCAGAAGCAGAACCATATATCTTTAGGAATTTTTGACAAAGCATCAGTTGAAAACAGTGATATGAGAAATTAAAGAAATGCTTCTCTTGGTTTTGATTAGACACAAGTCTAATCGAACACAATAACCCCCAATCATATGCCGACAGCAAGTTTTGTGTTAGTAGAAGTGACAATTGAAGAAAGATTTTTTTGACGGAATTTACTTCTTTTGGTAGTGGTAGTAGTGGTGCTGGTGCATGCATGACTCGGCCATAATGCATAAAGCAATTTTGCTTTTCAGATATGGTCCTGCGTGCGCAGAGAATCAGGCCAATTCCTTCTTTTTTTTCCTTTTTTTTTTCTTTGCATTATTAGAATGGTAGTCATTTTTTTTCTTCAAATTATTGTGATTATCATCTTAAAAGGGTTATTACATACTCCTTCCGTTTTTATTTAGTTGTCATAGTTAAACTAAGAT